GATTGCACATCCACATAAGTATGATCTACAAAGATTTTCAAAAGCACAAAAGGAATCAGATCATCAACCAGATCATTCATTTCAAAATCCAGAACCACAACAAAAAGGATCTGAGAATGTAGCTGGTGTTGGTGTTTCTCCAAATTCATTCAATGAAAAAACAAGTTTGGGCAGTTCAGAAACTGATGATTTGAAGAAGTTCATGAAGTCTTATGTGAGTAATCAAGCAATTTAAACTCTTATATGTTTTAGTGTTACTATTTATTATATGTTAAATTTGATTATAGGTTGACCAAAAATTTGGAGATCTTGATAGTAAAGTTGAAACTCTTGAGGCTTTAATAAAGTGTAGCCATTCAGAATTGTTGATAGTTGTTGCTGCGAGAGGAAACAAATCTGAGAAGGTGCTATTTTGATTTTGGTTATTTCTTTCTGGGTTTTTAAGTGACTTTATATTTAAAAAAATTGTAGGATATGGGAGGAGTGTCATCGCCACACATGATGAATGATTCTGTGGCAAAAAAAAATGTTGGTACACAATTCAATTCTAGTAAATCTAATGAAGCAACTGTAGACGATGCTGATGAAAATTCTGATGCTGCTGGAAAACAAAAGGTATATTCTGAAGACGTAACAAAAGTAATTAAGAACCATTATACTTAATTTATTTGAAGATACCTTTATATTTTTGTGCATTAGAAGTTTAATAAAGTATTATTTTGTCTGTTGGATACTCTAATCCATCATTTTTTATATGATAATTGTGTATCATTGATTAACTAATTGTTTACTTTTAAAATATAAAGGATGATCTAAATCATGTATTTCGTATATACTTTAATTCATGAGATTGATTACTTTATTTTTTAAGTATCACTGACTACACAACGTACAACGCACATTAATAGAGTAACTCTGCTCATCAGACTGTTTCACCAAAGCATAAGAATTTTGCAACTGTTGATGATGTTGCTGAAATTGCAGTGGAGCTTAATAAACAAACAGAAGATGTAACGAAGGTAATAAAAATCTGATACTTAATATATTGGTTGATACTTTATTTTTCTTTTTTGCAATTAAGTATCTTTTCAGATGGTTGATATTTTTTCCATTAGTTTAATAAAGTATTTTTTGCATGTTTGATACTCTAATACATCACTTTTTATATGACAATTGTGTATCATTGATTAACTAATTATTTATTTATAAAATATAAATGATGATCTAAATCATGTAGTTGGTATATACTTTAATTTATGAAATTGATTACTTTATTTTTTAAGTATCACTGACTGCACAACGCATATTAATAGAATAACTCTGATCATCCGACTGTTTCACAAAAGCATATGAATTTTGCTACTGTTGATGCTGCTGCTGAAATTGCAGTGGAGGTTGAAAAACAAACAGAAGATGTAAGAAGGTAATAAAAATTTGATACTTAATACATTGATTGATACTTTATTTTTCTTTTTTTCAATTAAGTATCTTTTCAGATGGTTGATATTTTATTCCATCAGTTTAATAAAGTATTTTTTATATGCTTGATTTTTCTTTTTTGCAATTAAATAGCTTCTTAGATGGTTGATATTTTATTCCATCAGTTTAATAAAGTATTTTTTGTATGCTTGATACTCTAATACATCATTTTTTATATGACAATTTTGTATCATTGATTAACTAATTGTTTAGTTATAAAATAGAAATGATGATCTAAATCATGTAGTTGGTATATACTTTAATTTATGAAATTGATTACTTTATTTTCTAAGTATCACTGACTGCACAACGCATATTAATAAAATAACTCTGATCATCCGACTGTTTCACCAAAGCATATGAATTTTGCTACTGTTGATGATGCTACTGAAACTGCAGTGGAGGTTGAAAAACAAACAGAAAATGTAATGAAGGTAATAAAAAATCTGATACTTAATACATTGATTGATACTTTATTTTTCTTTTTTGCAATTAAGTATCTTTTCAGATGGTTGATACATTATTCCAACAGTTTATATTTTGAATAATGGTTGAAATCAGCAATTGCTTTATTTTTTTTACAGTTAAAATATATATGATGTTTTTAATCATGCATTTTGCTTTATAAATTATTATATTAACTTTATTACTTTATTTTTAAGTATCGCTAACTGCATAATATATATTAAAATACTAACATATATTTTATTTTTTCAAATATTATTAATTTTAGATCATGTTGCTGGCATATTGAAAAAACTGATTGAAAAAAATTAGTATATTTGAACTTGCATAAGTTATTGAAAATATATTGTGTTTTTTAATTATTTGATATGACAGGATTCTACCTCATCGGTATCCTTCGCACCTGAAAATGTAGCAATGACATTGAATGTCAACCCATTGGATGCTGTCATTCCTCTACAGCTTACCTGGGGTGATGATTTGTTATCAGACAGTCAGCTACCCTCCCAGCTTGGTGTCAGTGATGTTGATACAAAAACTCCTGCTAAGCGTAACAGGGTACCTTCTAAGGTTTTGCAGTCTCCAAGCATTCGTTTGAATCAACTGATAAGGGCAAGGACAAAATAGAAGATCACATCCGTCCATATACTCCATTTGATGATTGTCGAATCACATCTCCTGTATCGCAAGATTTAATGCAAGAGTATTTAGATTGGATTAAAAAGGGACTCCTTAAATCACACGCCAATAAGTAAGTTTTTATTAATAATGCTTTTTTATAAAATCATTTTCTTAAATACTTTATTTTTGAATTAAAATTATTTATTACAGGAGGATGATGATAAATATAGAGGCAAATCTTTTAAATTTGGCTTTGATTATATGGATTTTGTTGTCGCATTTCCTGTTGACAAGAACTGGTTTTATACTATGTCACATCCAATGTATTGTTGGACTGATCAGGTACATTATGCATTTAAATTATTTAAATAATACAATATATAGATCTTTCATATCATTTAAAGATCTACTTACAAATTTATTTATACCTACATTTAATCTTTTTTTATTTTTCAAAGAGTGAAGATTTCATATTGTGTTGTTTTATATTTATAACAGCATCTAGATGTGATTTTTTACTATCTACGGAAGAAGTCAAAATTAAGAGGCTTGGATCAATACAGATACACTACGGTCAACTGCTTGTTTATGTCATACATCAACATTGTATATAATAGGTATTATTGTGCACCTGTTGATGAATATCGGACTACACAACAACATATTGGTCGTGGTAAAGCTATAGCTGGTTATGAAAGGTCTATAAAAGACATTATTAATGGATTTTTGATACCTACTTCGTTACCTTGGCATATAGTTGATGAGGTTTATATTCCTATCAATTGTGGCAAAGCTTTTCATTGGGTGTTGGCTGTGGTTGTTTTGAAGAAAAGGTTGATACGTGTGTATGACTCATCTTATGGGTCAAGGAAAAGAGTGCCTCCTGAAGAGATTAATCAGTTGTCTGTAATGCTTCCTAACTATCTACATGATAGCGGCTTTTTTGATAAAACGGATAGAATTGATTTGGTATCTTTGGAGGCATACAAAGACAAGAAAATAGGTGAATTGTTAGGTCCTCAACATTCTTTTACAGTTGAATATGCGCAAGAGATTATGCAACAAAAAAGCGATAGCCTGTAAGTATTTGTGAATCTATTTGTTTTGTTCAAATTTTTTTTAGTTTTTAGATTTTATTTATATTAAAATCCTTTTTTAATATATATATATATATTTTTAGTGATTGTGGAATGTTCGTAGCTGCTTATGCTGAATATTTGAGCGACGAAATCAAAATTCCATCTGTTGGTCTTCAGAGCGACTATCTGCGCAACAAATACGCAACACTTTTATGGAAGTATGGCATGGACAAACACAATGATGGATATGTTAGTCATAGCGATGATCCTACAAAGCCAAAGGACGGGTTTTCTAAACAGGCAGAAGATGCATTTGTTGATGTTGATTAATTAGGCTTATATTATTATTGAACTATTATTGGAACAGAGTATTTTGTGTTTTAACTTATTATTTTTGTTCAATATTACTAAGCATTTTATAGTTTTAATAATTTAGCTTGTCATTTTGTGTTTCAGTAACTCTAGCCACTTCGAACTAATAAATTTGTTGGATGATCCTTTATTTTTCCTGTCAAAACTGTGACAACGAGAAGAATAATCACTTAATCCCAAAATAGGAAATTGGGGGTATTTTGAAGATGCAGATACGAGTTTTACAGGTAAGGATTGAAAACTGAGGGTCTTTTGGTACACTTGTATACAGCCGAATTTGGCATTGTATACAAAATTCTTATTTTAGTATCAAAAAATAAAATTAGTATATCATTAAATAAATTAAATTATTTGTGTTCTGCATAAGTAGTATCATACAAGAGTATGAAATATATACTTAAATATATACATTTAGTTTAGTTTATATTTTTGTTGACTTTTAAAATTCAATTATATTAGTTAATATTAGATCCATTATACGTTTACTATTTTATGTAATTGATATTTTTGTTCTGCATACAAAATTTAATATATTTAGTATCAAATCAGATTTTGTAGCTTAAATCATTCACATGTTGTTAAACACATCAAATAGAAAAAGTTCACATATTATTAGCAAATTAAAAATATCCAAAAGCATTATTACACATCAAATAAACTAAAAAAGTATAAATCAAGAATCTTTTGGAAAGAAGGTACATGTTCTTTTATTATGACCTTCTTGACCACAACGTCCACAACAATTCGTTTTTGTTGTTATCTTTTCATCTGCATTTTTCTTTCTCTTTTTTCTTGGTCTCTCAGGCATCTTTTTGTATTTAGGTGGCAAGACAACTTCTTCCAAAACAGAGTCTGGAGCTTTCCATTCTCTTTTGTCTGGCATTAGTTCTATTGGAATCACATAAGTATTTGTTAATGCATAGTGTTTATAATAATAAGAGCAATAGGGGTGTACATCTGTTATATTCTTCTTCTTCAAGACGGCTATTGCATGTGGACAAGGTATCTCGTCATGTTGAAATCTCCCACATGAACAAGTTTTCCTCTCAAGACAAACAATGTATATAATCCCACCTTCATACACTGAAAAAAAAACTCAGAAGATGCAACAACCTGCAATTTTTGAAAAAATAGAGATAGTCAACAAGTTTATTTTTCATTTTTTGTTTAACAATAAAATAATAAATACAAAGCAAATATGAACCTTCATTTTTGAACTTTTTGATGCGTTTAAAACCAATATATCTTCAAATCTTCTGCCCAATGTTTCTTTTGTATAAGAAGTTATTTCTCTATTTTTGCAATTCCAAGAACCAAATAGAATTCTAACTTCCTCCAAAAAATCTATAATACGTAGTTGTCGTGCATCAACAAGGCAACCATTGATACATTCAGCTATATTTGAAGTCATCATTCTCCCACGGTTCACTGTTGCATGAGACCTAGCCCATCTTTCATACCCAGCATCTTGAAGATACTTTTTTACTCTTCCATCAATTTTATCCAATTTAGCCATCAATTTTTCAAAATCATTCTTTCTATAAGCCTTAGCCATTGAATAAAACAGATCACTTAGAATGGTCCTGCTTCTCCTAAAGTTTGAACACACATTTTTCCAGAGGTGCCATATGCATGCAAAATGAGGAATAGTTGGATAAACAATACTCACACCTTTCTTTATGCTTTCATTTCTGTCAGATACAATACACATTTTTTCCCTCTCACCAAATGCATTCTTAAATTGTTGAAAGAACCATGTCCATGAACAATCATTTTCTGTGGCAACAACTATGTATGTCAAAGGCAATATGCAACCTTAATATATAAACACAAAAAAAAATATACTAAACAACTACTTACTATTAAGAAAATGATAAAATAAATTCATAAACAATATGTCATACCTGCTCCATCAAGTGTACTAGCAGACACAAATGTACCTCGATAATCTCCACTAAGATGTGAAGCATCAACAACAACAACAACTGGCCTACAGAACTCAAATCCTCTCATCGTTGGCCTTAATGATATGAAAAGATACATAAATTCGTTGTATTCAGACTTACGCGTCCTTATATATGAATTTGGATACACAGTTTCCAGCATATATATGTATCTTGGCATGTTTCTGTAGCCATCAGCAGGTTTACCTCTTATCAGTTCTAGTGCACGCTCTTTTGCGCGCCATGCCTGTTGATAAGAAATCTCAACGCCATACATTTCCCTGATATCATCAATTATATCGCTCGGAGTATGTTTTCTTTTATGATTCTTTAATTTAGGCGTTGTCACACCACTAATAAACCCAACAGTGGATTGTACATTGCTTAATACCCTATCCCTTAATGGACAGGTATATTCACTATTAAAGTATCTCACTATGAATGTTTCTGAATTCTTTCTAACAAATGCTTCAATTTCCAACAACAATCATCTGAATGAAAAACTAATACGGAGCTAAAATAAAAAAAACAGATATTCATTATTTGATAAGGTTGACTTTTTTTAATAAACAAAAATATAACATTATAAATGATACTTTATAACAATTTTCCCTATTAATTGATATGCTTGTATTATGACTTATATTTATTCATTCGCAAAATTTGAATTGATGTTGTATTATTATTTTATTTTAAATTATATTTAATTTAATCTAAGTATTTCATTTTCACAGATATACTTAATATACTTTATTTCATTTTCACAATTTTCCCTCACGTATTATAAATGATACTTTATAACATATGACTTATATTATGCACGTTATAATATTAATTAATATGCTTGTATTATGACTTATATTTATTCATTCGCGAAATTTGATTTTGATGTAGTATTATTAACTTATTTTAATTTATATTTTATTAATCTAAGTATTTCATTTTCACAGATATAATTAATATACTTTATTTCATTTTCACAACTTTCACTAATAATTACTATACTTTAATTCATTTTCACAGATATTGATATTGATTATTTAATAAGGCTGACTTTTTTAATAAACAAAAAAATTATATATATATACTCTATTCATTTTCACATTATAAATGATAATTTATAACAACTATTTCACATTGCAAATTGGGTCAATACCATCGTTCAGGCATTTCTTCAAACAAATGGTGAACAAAACAAATCCCAATAAACTCAAAACAAGAAAAGAACAATGCAGCAGTAGAAGAAATAGCGCAAAATGCAAACATTTGATAGAGTTGATAACAATGAACAACACAGTTTGTATATTGAAAAAAAATAAAGTCTTTCAATGAAAACATACTTTTTGTTATCAGATCTTTTAACTTTAAAGTTGAAACCATTCTTTATTTTGTAATTTTCCATTACCACCTTCAGAGTTGACTTATCCTTATATATTTGATTCTCTTCCACAAATAAATTATTTGTGTCTGATATATACTTATCAATATCCATTTCCGGTATGTAAGATTCATAATCAATTGATGATTCAACAATATTGAGAGCCTTTTTGTCGTTTTTTTCACCCTCAACACACATGATGACACCTGTTGTTGCATCGAAATTTATTATCTTTTCAACACCTTTATCTGATGTATCAATGCATAAAGGATAAGTTCCGAACCCAGCCTCATGTTTCTTAATTTCTACATACAATTTTACACCCATATCTTTTCGAATACACAATGGAGACGAATTTCCTTCAACAACATATCTAATATCTATATTTTTTTCGAATCGTCAATACCCAACTCAGCCGCAATTGTTGAAATAAGATTCATGAACGAAATATTTTCACCAACCACTATTCCATCACTTTTGTATCGCTCGTACAAAACATCACTTTTCCATATTCCAAAATGTCGCAACAAGATCGAAATATTCATATTTGAAAAATCACAATTGGCCTTTCAGAGTTTTTTTTAAAGCAGAATAGTGTTTTTTTTCCTGATTTTGAATGACTATTTTAAAACTTTTAAATTGAATAAAATTGAGTGTAGTAAATTGGAAGTAGTTTTCAAGGTGATTTGGTTTCAAAATTAACATGAATAAAGGGAAGGAAAATATAAAAATTAAGTGATTATTTAATGTATTAATTTCTGAAGCAATTAACACGGTCAAATAGTTAGAAAAGGCAAATCAGTTACCCTTGATTTTAGCTATAACAGTTACATAAAAAATAAATTCAGTCCTTTATATTCATTTAAATTTAAGTATCATTTCTGTTTTATAAATTATCCGAAATTCTTAAAAATAAGGGATTTTTGGTAAATAGTAAAGTCATAGGGATAGAACGTAATTTATCATTTATAGTATGTCATTTGCCTAATTTATACTAATAAATATAGGGCAACTTTCACATATAACAAATAAAAAAGGGCAACTTTTACATATAGCAAACAAAAAATTCATATTTGTATATTATAACAAAGTTTGCATAATTGCGCTCCATAACAAACATAAAACTGTATAGTTCACTGGCAAAAATTGTATTATTCGCTGGCCTAAATTGTATAATTCGCTGGCCTATTTCGCTGCAATTGTATAATTCGCTATCCTATTTCACTGCGATTTATAATGCACAATTGTATAATTCGCTGCAATATTTTTATAAAATTTATTTTGCATACAGTTGAGTCGAATTAAAATGTATTTATATTGCATAATTATAAGTGTATAGCAAGAAGATATATGTTTTTCTCTCGCTTTATACAAAAACAGAAACACAATATATACACTTCTGTTGTATAAAGCTAGAGAAAATTGCATTTCACTGCAATTGTATAATTCGCAATTGTATAATTCGTTGGCCTTTTCTCTGCAATATTTGAAGTAAAATATTTGTAAATTGTATAATTAAGTGTATAACACGAAGATATATATTTTTGCATGTGTATATACAATTTTCTCGTTTTATACAAAGTAGAAGAAGAATTATACACTTCTGTGTATAAAGCGAGAGAGGCGAGCGACAATGGAGAGTGACGAGCGAGATTTCTAGGAGAGAGACGCTGGCAAATTTTAGCTAACGTTTGCTATGGAGCACAATTAAATCAAACTCCAGCTCTTCCACTTATTTTAGGTTATTAGTTTGCTATTATATACAATTTTCCCAATAAAAAAAATCATATTTGTATGCTATAATAAAGTTTGTATAATTGTGCTCTATAGCAAACATAGAAAATGTATAATTCGCTATACATATACAGTTGAAGAAAATTGTATAAAACGAAGTGTCTAAAACAAGAAAGAGAAAGACACTTGGGCAGAAAACTAAATAAAAACGAAGTGTATAAAACGAATTGTATCATTATAAGTGTATAGAACGATTATATACAATTTGAATTTGTATAAAATGAGAAACAGAGAAAGACAAAAGAAACTTGGCAGTCGTTTCGAGCAGTAGAATCATTTGTGATAAAAACTGACTGGGTCGACGGATCACACGACAGACCGTCATGGTCATGACGGACCGTCATGGACCCCGTCGTCCCACACTTGTATAAATTTCCTGTTGCTCTCCTCATTGCCCTCGACGACAAGTAGGACGAACCGACATAGGTACAACGGTCCGTCGAGCGTCTTCGTGCCAAAACACTTCAACTCTAAAATCTGGGTGCTGGGATCGACTCTATGAACTTTGTGACGGACCTGCAGGACGGACCGTCGCATGTACGACGGGCCGTCACGAGCTGCGTAACCTTGACTGGGTCGGATTTCTGCTAAAAGTTTTAAGGGGTGTTTTGGACTATTCATGTCAAACTGTATGAAATTAGTGGGTAAGTTTAATAACTTATTTACTTGTGGGTTAAAGGAGGTAACTTAAATAAATAATGGGTTACTTTTATGATAACGAATTATATGATAATTAGGGTAAAAGAAAAAGAATCTGGAGAAGGAAAAAGAGGAAAGAGACAGAAAGAGAGGGAGAACGAGCGAGAAAAAGGGAGAAGCGAAGAGGAAAGCAAAGGCATTGGGAAGTAGCTTGTTTGATCACGATTCTTTGGTGGAGGTAGGTTATGGTTTATGCTATTTCATAGTAAACTCTTAATAGCGATCGATATATATTGGGTGGTATTGTAAAGTCTTCTATATGCTTGATTGTGGGTTGGTATGTTGTAATTGTGTAATTGTGGTGGATTAGAATGTTGATACTGTTGAATCTTTAATCTTGAATCCTCTCTGTTAAGATGATGCCTTGACATAAAGAAGGCTTGATGAACTAAAGTAATGAGATAAATGGATCGGGTGTCACGTTCCGACACGTAGCATTAAGGGATCGGGTGTCACGTTCCGACACGTAGAATTAGGGGATCGAAGTTTCACGTTCCGACACGTAGAATTAGGGGATCGGAGTTTCACATTCCGACACGTAGAATTAGGGAATGGGGTGTCACGTTCCGACACGTAGAACTAGGGGATCGGAGTGTCACGTTCCGACACGATAATAATGAAGAGAAGTAATTTTTGAATTATGTTAATATACTCAATTCGAAGAACCTTTTTTCCCAAATGAGTATGGTGTGGAGGCTTGAGTCCTCATAGGTGTGATTGGTGTTGTTGTCAATGGCTCTTATACTTGTTGATTGCCACCTGTTAAGTATTATGGTTGATTTTATATTATTATTCTGTATATATTATTTTCTATTTTGAGTTGGCCGATGATACCTACTCAGTACTTGTTCCTTGTACTGACCTCTACTTGTAATTTTTTTCTTGTTATTTGTGGAGTGCAGCAAGCGTGCCATCGACTTCGACTCGTCCTCAGATCTAGCCAGTCTTCAGCATATCAAAATTCAGGGTGAGCTATTATTCCTAGCTCGTGCTGGATTCTCTCCTTCACGTCTTGATGTCTTGAAGTTCGGACATGGACTATCCTTTTACTTATTTTATCTTCTTAATACTCTTAGATTTAGAAATTTGAGGATAGATGTTCTTGATGTGATGACTTCCAGATTTTGGGAATAATAAGTATTGAGTTTTAGAAGTTATTTAATTGATTTTCGTTAATGAGTTTTGAGTCTTCCGCGTTATATTTTGTTCACTATGGTTGAAATATTGGTAAATGTTGGGGTTTAGATTTGTTGGTTCGTTCACATAGGAGGATAAGTGTGGGTGCCACTCGCGGCTCATTTTGGGTTGTTACAAACTTGGTATCAGAGCATTAGGTTCGTTGGTCTCATCACATAAGAATCTAGTAGAGTCTTGAGGAACGGTAGGGGGACACCCTTACTTTTCTT